GGTCTCTGTCCCCCTCTCTCTGCCCTCCCTTCCTCTTATTATCTGACTCTCCATCTCAGCGTCTCCCCTTCCCGGGAGGTCCAGGAGATGGGAGACAGCTCTCCACCACCACCCCTCCCCCGCTACCCCCAGCCCCCAGGAACGCCCTTCAGGTGCTCCAAGAGGGGTCCAGCCTCTACTCCCAACCCTGCTCCCACCTGCCTCCCTCTCCCCCTCCCCAACCATGGCAGGACCCCAGGGCCTGGCACAACTGCTGCCTGAAGGCCTGGCCCCGGAACGCGTAGAACAGAGGGTTGAGGCAGCTGCTGGCCCCTGCCAGGGTGAACCCCAGGGATCTGAGCGGCACCCAGACCTCCCCTGTGCCCAGCCTGGCCTCCCACATTCCCAGCAGCTGCAGCAGAAGCAGCAGGTGAAAGGGGAACCAGCAGAGAAACAGCAAGGCCCCCAGGGGCCACAGTGCCCCCAGCGGCGGGGGCCTTCCGGTCAGCTTGGCTAGCTGCAGCCAGGCCCACACGAGCCCACAAATGGCACTCATCACCCCCAGCAGCACCCCAAAACAAAACACCAGCTGATTCAGGGCCAGGCCAGAGAACGCCAAGTCTGGGACACAGCCAGGCAGCTCCCCCACAGGTATCCTGTTACAAGACTCGGGTGTATCCACTCGGCCCCTCCAGAGCCGCAGGGACAGCGCACCCAGGACCAGCAGAAGGAGCCAGACTCCGCTGGCCCAGGAAACGGCCCTCCGAGTCCGGCGGTGGGTCATCGCCCAGTTTGGCTGGAGCAGCGCGGTGAAGGCGTTGGCTGCAGCGTGGGTCAGCATGTGGCCACTGGCATAGAAGCTCAGGATGGCCAGGTGGGGGTCCAGATGGCAGAAGGCACTCCCCAGGGGCCAGGCAGAGCTGGTCCAGGTGAGGGTCAGAGGCAGGAGAACAGTGAATGTGGCATCGGCCACGGCCTGGTCCCTGAACCAGGCGGTCACCCGGGAAGGGGGCAGACAAGGGCCGGCCACCTGGATCACCAGGCCGTGGCTGGCCACATCCAAGAGGTGAGCGGCGAGGTTGACCAGGGAGTAGAGGAGGAAGAGGGCAGCCCAGGGTGGACAGAGGGCTCCAGCGGGTGCTGACTGCTGGGTCACCGCTGAAGGGTACTCCATGGGCTAGCCGATCCTGTCGGGACCCACAGTTCCCCATGTTAGCATTCTACACTGATCTCAATGTCCCCCCAAATATCCCTGGGTTCTCCGTCTCAGGGACGGCCCCACTGAACACCCATTCCCAGGCCAGACCCCCAGTGCCTTCCTCCCCCCACCCCACCCCCAACAGCATTCTGTAGTTCCATCCCGACTCTTCCTGTCTGGTCCCCTCCTTTTGGTCCCCACGCCTCCAGCCGAGGCTCAGGCCTCATCCTCTTCTGCCTGGGTCCTTATCTCAGTCTCCTCCCTGGCCTCCCGGCCTCGAGTCTCTCCTCCCTCTAGTCCATTCTCCACACATCCCCAGAGCTGACCCCACCCTCCCCTGGTCACATCCGTCCCATGGCTCCCCAGTACCCCTGAAACAAAACCCAGCCCCTCAGCCTGAGATCCAAGGCCCTGCATGCTCTTGTCCCGGCCCGTATCTGCAGCCTCGTCTCTCACTGTGCCCCTCAGCCCAAACGGCTCCCCATTACGATGGCTCTGGGCCTTTGTACAAGCTGGCCTTTCCGCCTGGCACAGCTTCCTCCTCTCGGCAGCCTGGCACGGTCCTCCTCATTATTCAGGATTGCTGTGAAGGATTGAATAGCGCCCCCAATACGATATGTTGAAGTTCTAACCCTGGTACCCGTGAACGTGACCTTGTTAAAAAATAGAGCCATTGCCAATGTATTTAGTTCCCATGAGGTCATACTGGAGTAGAGTGGGTCCTAATCCAGTATAAGTGGTGTCCTTAGAGAAGACCCAGAGAGAGACAGACAGAGGGAAGACGGCCACGTGAAGACGGAGGCAGAGACTGGCGTGGTACGGCCACAAGTGGGGGAGGAGCAAGGATTGCCAGGACCCACCAGAAGCTGGAAGAAGCAAGAAAGGATCTTCCTCTAGAGTCTTCAGAGGGAGCATGGTTCTGCTGACACCTTGATGTTGGACTCCTAGCCTCCAGAACTGTGAGACAATAAATTTCCGTTTTAAGCCACTCAGCCAATCATCAGGCCTTTCCTTCGAAGCACTGCTGGGTGGGTTTGAACTGCTAACCTTTAGGCTAGTAGTTGAGTACAAACCATTTGTGCCCCCCAGAGACCGCATTTTGTTAGTGCGGCCACAAGAAATCAATACAGCCTCCCCACACCCCCACCCCACCCCCGTCGGCCCCAGAGAAGTTTTCTACACCCAGAGTGGACCTCCTCCTCCCTCTCACAGTTCCAGGGCTACCCAGTGCCCAGGAACAAAGTGTGAACCCCTCAGCCTGGTGTTCCTGACCCTGCATCTGACCCCTACCCCCTTTCCAGCTTCATGCACCCCGTTTTCCTCCATGTTCTGTGCTCAGCCACCCGAAGATGTTGACACTTGGACAAACTTGCCTTTCTCACAGTGATGTGATGGTTCAACCACCAACCACACACCACCTCCTCCATCTAACCCTGACCTCCAGCCTCATACACTGCCTCCTCCAACTGACCCTGCTCCAGCCTCACACACTGCTTCCTCCGTCTGACCCTGAGCTCCAGCCTCCAGCAGCCGCCTGCTCTGGACACCTGCCCCAATGTCCCCAGGCCCTAGCACTTGTAGAGTCTTAGCTGATTTCTCCCCAACCATCTCCTTTTCCCAGGTTCCTCATTTCAGAGACAGACCCAGCGTCCACCCAGTTGTGCCACCAGACCCCGGGGTGCTGTCCTCCCCCCTCATCTCTCACAGCGCATCCGTCCCCAGCCCCGTCCTCCTGTCCCAGCCTCTCTATCCTTTCCCCGGTCCCTGACTCCCTTGGCTCTGAACCTGCCTCCTGCATCTTCTCCCGCCTGGACCCTCGCCTCAGCCTCCTCCTCGGCCTCCTGGCCTCCAGTCCTGCCCTTCCCACCACATCAAACCTACCCACTCCTGAACCAGCCCCTTTCCAGCCTCATACCCTTACCCCCTGCTGTCTTTCTCACTTCTCTCAGAGACCAGCATCCTTCATGAAGCTTCTAGGCCCTATGCTGGGGCTACTATTAATGGCTCCACCCTTCAGATGGGGAAACTGAGGCTCAGAGCAGGGGAGTCGCTTGCTCAAAATCCCACAGCAAAGCAGAGACTAAGGCTGGACTCGAACTCACGTCTGTCCCACCTCAGAGGCCTGGATGGCAACTTAAGCATCGGCACACAGGTCCTGCTCTGTCCACAGGCCTCAGTTTACCCATTTTGTTCCCTCGTGTCCTAAGCTCACCAGCAGATGGGAGACAGGTGTCTTCTGGGGCATCTGAGCAGGAGCTGGTGACCTGATATCCCCTTGAGGACTCTGGCTGGGGAAGTGTGGGCAGTTTAGGAGTGGATGGAAGAGGAAGTGAGATCTCCTGGCTGGACATCAGAGAGGCCACCAAGCAGGGTCTGAGTATGAGCCTCAGTTTCCCCATCTGGGAACTGAAGGACTCACATGTTCGCCTGCACCCTGTCTCCCCATCATCACCCCAGGATAAGGTTCAAGTCCTTCAGCCTGGTATGTGTGGCCTCAACTGTTGTGGCCCCACCCACCTCACCACTTCCCTTCCTTCTGCCCTGCAGTTCCTAGAACAAGCCGCCTGGTTTCACACACTCTCGCACACGCACAGCATTTGCCCTTGCTGTTTCGTCTTCAAGCACCGTGCTTTAACAAACCCATCACTTCGGCCGGCAAACTCCTACTCATTCTTCAAAACCCAATTGGGTCCATCAACAGATGAATGGATAAACAAAATGTGGGATGTACATACAATAGACTATTACTCAGTCATAAAGAGCAATGAGGTCTTCATGGATGCCACAACATAGATAAACCTTAAACTCATCATGCTGAACAAAATCAGTCCGCCACAAAAGGACAAATACTGTATGATATCACTTGTATGAAATAAGCAAACATATAGAAACCACAGATTGTTAATGGTAACCAGGGGTGGAAGGGAAAGGAAAAGGGGGGGTTTTGTTTGGGGGACCTTGAGTTTACGTTAAAGGTAGTGGAATATTTTGGAAAATGTTTACAATACTGGTGGCACAACATGAAAAATGCAATCAACGTCATTGAATTGTAAATGTGGAAGTTGTTGTGCTGGCAGATGTTTTGATGTGTAGGTTGTCACCACAATAAAAAGAGTGAGAGAGAGCGAAACCCCAATTGGATGCCAGCTTCCCCAGAAACCCCAAAAGAGCACTATACCAGGAGTCTACAGACCCACCTTCACCCTCACCCTACTTCGGCTTCCTTGTGTGACCTGATCCCTCACACATCTCTCCAAGCCTCTGTTTTCTTACCTAGAGAACAAGGGACCATAAACAATTTGGTGGTGAACGATATCACACATCACAGACATTGCCACACTAGATCTTTCCAATGGGCTACCATCATAGCAACCCCATGTGACAGAGTAGAACTGCCCCATCAGGTTTTCCCAGGCTGTTAACTCGACCATACTTAACAACAACAGCCTTCCACAGCCCTCCCCTCTTCCTTAGTATGCCAAGCACACTCCTACTCATCCTTCAAAACCCAACTGGATGCCACTTCCCCTGAAGCCCTTCTCTTATCGTCCCTCACTGGAACAGACTGCATAAGCTCAATTACCACCATTGCTTCCCACCCTTACTAGCCCCCACTTATCCTCATGATATTTTCTTTTTCGTTATTCTTTCTCCCTCCCCCTATTCTAGTAAGATTGACTAAAGTTTCTCCTGGGAGGGTGGCAGAACAAATTGATAACCCTCAAGGACTAGGATTAACTCACCTGCGATGTGACAATCGTGACTAACGGTGCCAGATAGCCTTCAAGGGTTGCCAGTAAGAAGTTAGATCATCTGAGATGTGAGAAACGTGACCACCAGAAGAGAAACTGTAATCCTGTCCATATAAAAACTTTCAGCCAGCCTGCAGTCAGGGAGACAAGTCTTTTGGAAGAGCTCATTCCCCTCTCTCTCCTGTATATCCATATACAATAAAAACCCTCTCGCTGCTCACCTCACCCCTGTCTCAGTATTGGCTTTTGCAGCAGGCGGCTCAAATCCTCGATTTGCGGTAACATCACCTGACCAGGCAGGGTCTCTGAGAGCCCTCCGTCTGGCAGCCTCATGTCATTCAGGTCTGTTCTCAAAGAGCACCTCTTCCTAGAGGTCATGAGTACCCTGTTGAAAACAGCAGCCCCCTCATCACTCTCTCTCCCCTTATCCCTCCTTTTGTTCTCTCCATAGCACTTAGGATCATGTATTGCTTATAACTTGCATATTGTATTGTCTGTCTTCCCCCGCTCCCTAATGCTTTAACATAGAGACTCCATGTTGTTGCTTGCTGTGGTTAGGTGTTGTCGAGTTGGCTCCAACTCATAGCAACTTTATATGTAATAGAACGAAAAACTGCCTGGTCCTGCACCATCCTCACCATAGTAGGTATGTTTGAACCCATTGTCGCAGCCCCACTGTATCAATCCACCTCATTGAGGGTCCATAAGAGCAGGGATTTTCACCTGTTTTCTTCATGGCTGTGTCTTCTAAGCCTAAAACAGTGCCTGGTACCTAGTAGGCACTCAAGAAATATTGCTGAATAAATGGATGAATGAGTGCAAGACATCCACATCCCAATCCCTGGAACCTGTGAACATGTTACCTCATGTGGCAAAAAGGGAATTAAGGTTGCTAGTCAGATGATTGGAGCCCTGGTGGTACAGTGGTTAAGAGCTCCGCTGCAAACCAAGAGGTTGGCAGTTTGAATCCACCAGCCACTCCTCAGAAATCCTATAGGGCAGTTCTACTCTGTCACATGAGGCTGCTATGAATCAGAGTTGAATCCACAGAACCTCACAACAGTCAGATGATCTCAAAACAGAGAGATGATCCTGGATTATCTGGGTGGGCCCAATGTAATCACAAGGGTCCTTAAAAGTGGAAGAGGAAGGCA